AACCTTGTGGACAGCCTTCCCAGAAGAGTTGAAGCTGTTCTAGCTGCAAAGGGTGGACCGACGTCATATTGAACCCTATGGATTAGGAACGGGATGTCATTTAAGCTCGTATGTGAGTCAAGGCAGGTGAGCAAATACTTTTGGCAATATAGTGTATATCTAGAAGAGCTATATGTTTGTATATTTTATCTCTTTTTTATTTTTATTTTTATTTTTATCTTGATTATCTTGTGTAGTTGGATGTGTGTGTGTGTATGTATATATATATATATATATATATATATATATAAAACTAATTGGAGCGTGTAACAAAAGTAATTTCCCTCTGGGATTATTAAAGTATTTCTGATTCTGATCTGATTCTGAATTGTGGCCTATTAATAAAAATAATCCTCAAAAATACAACTTGCCTAATAATTCTGCACACAGTGTTAAGATACCTCAGTTAAAACTTTAACTTCAACAGTCACAGGCAGTTCTAAACAAATGCGTTTTTAACTTTGTCTTTTCAAGAGCTTCATCAGCTCCTAAAAAATTTCATTGGTGGGTTTTTTTTTTATGCTCACCTGTTGTCAGAAAATAATCAGAAAAAGTTTTATGAAGTCTGATCTCTGAAGGAAGAAATGTTTTTAACCGTTTTTTACTGGGTTTTCATCTTTATTGCAATTAATGACAAGTTATTTAAAAATAGGTGAAGTTTGAGTCCTCCTGTTTTCATCTACTCTGGTTGCATGAAAAAAACGTGAAAAATAAAAACTAAGCCTTTAGATCAGCTGGAAGCCTTGACGTTTGAATCTAAATTAAAAGCTGACAGAAAAGGTACATGTCTTTATATATAATAGTTCTTACATAGATGACCTTAAACAGATGGGTATAGAAGAAAACTACAGCACATTTGGCAAACTACTTTATCCAATATACATAATGAAATGTACATAACTTGCACCTGGACCTGTGTTTTTTTCTTAAATCCCTCTTGTTTTGTTTGAATCGTTTAAAAAATACACACAAAAAAACATCGTCTGTCTGAGTAAAACTGTTAAAAATGTCCAAGTTGTAAACTTAAATCACAACCTAAAATGTGAGGTGTGATTTAATGAGGTTCATAGTCTATGAACAAGTAAATATGAGCACTGCATCAGTTTACAGCAATCATTTGCATTCTGGCAACAACGTTGTAGGCTACATGTTGTTGCCAAAGTGCAAGCTTTGTTCAAAGTTCCTTCGGGAAAAAAACAACCTTGTAAAGTTAAAAATTCATATAAAGTGTTAATGAGGCTTTTGAATGTTCTGAATGTGAACAGGTGAATGCAGACAATACGTCTTGCTTTCCTATTTTATTATCATTATATATTCTCATTTAGGCTTTGAGCTATAACATAATGCTCTGATTCTGAAAAACTGGCTTTA